CAATAAAGTATTGTTGAATTTGAATTGAATTTATATTTGTGTATAAGCTGTTTAGATTGTCAAAAAGCCTGTTTTTTTAGGGTTATTAACGAAGTTCATGTACTCAGGCCAGTAATATTTGGGGTCACAAGTTTTTGCCATGAATATTTTGTGGATCAGAAGACAAAAGGTTTGGGAACCACTGCACTAGGGCACAGTCGGGACAGTCTGAAGCCATTCTATGGGACTGATAACCACTGATAACGTCCATTTAATGGACTGATAACATCTGAAGCGGGTGATAAAACATAGTTGTTTACAGTTATTAGACAAAACATGCAATTTATTTTTAATTGTACTCTTGCCATTTCTGTCTTGTTACATTTTTTTACAATGAAATAAATGTGGTACCGTAAAATAGTGAGTGTACCATTTTTAAAAAATGAACCAGCTTAAGTTTTCATGAAACAATACCTAAATGTGATTTTGGAAAAGATTTTTGTTTAAACGTTCCCAAAAGATCCGATTGTTCACGTTTGAGCTTTAAGGCGGGACAGGAATAGATGAGCTATTTGTTTTATCTTGCTTCTTCTCAAGCGCACTTTGATCTGTGATTTTTTTTTTCTTTGTTTTTATTTTTTAAGTTTGTATACATGTGTATGTTCGAGAAACTGATAAATGAGCTTGGTGTGCTTCACTTTGATCCATTCCTAACTATGTAGAGGTTTTTTTTTAGGTCATTTAAAAATATATATATTCCATATGTACAAGAGCAGTTCAAAACCTGTTGTTTTGGTACATGGAATAAGTTGCTGCCTTATTTTTTCCCTCAGACCAATCTACCGATCTTCAAGCTGAAGGAGTCTTGTGTTCGAAGGCGGTACAGCGACTTTGAGTGGCTCAGAGCGGAGCTGGAGAGAGAAAGCAAGGTGAGCCATTGAAAGTGAATTCAACACAAAGAGGCTGCTGAGCACTTATCAAATCAGCATATTATGCTGACCACATTTATCATGTTTTAGATTTAAAGAAAAAAAGTGTCTGAAAGAGCCTTTTAGACCTCTGAGCTGTTGAAGATTGCTTCCGGAGTGTAGTTTTTAGCCACGAAAAATGTTCTAATATATTCCTAACTTTTGCGTTTCATTATTTTCGGCTCTGATTAAAAAGTGATTTATTTACTTAAAAAAAAACTAATCTGTGTATTCTTTGTTTCCTTAGGTGGTCGTTCCACCTCTCCCAGGAAAAGCTTTCTTCCGTCAGCTTCCGTTTCGAGGCGATGACGGCATATTTGATGACTCTTTCATCGAGGAGCGGAGGCAGGGTCTGGAGCAGTTCCTCAACAAGTAAATCCGTCTACTTCTTTTTGGACATTTCACAGGAAAGTTTTGAGTCGTTTAGTCTGTGCAAGTTGTTTGCAGCTGCAGTTGTTTTGCAGCTCGTGTCTTAGGTTGGTGTTATTTTAACCCTCGAGAACAAAGGAACACTTTTGTGCGATAACTACCTCCAACTTTTCCACTTCTTTTTATATTGTTAACAAAGTGAACCTTCTGAAACAGGCTGTCTCATCCCTCACTATCCTCCTTAATTCTCTTTTATAATTACCTCGCGAAAGGACAAGAAAACCAAAGAGGATTCAAGTGCGCACCCCCACAACATGTTTTTTTTCCCACATTTGTTTTGTTGTTGATGTGTAATTTATGTTAATTGCAGCTCAAATTACAGCGCGTGGTTCCACAGAATGGTGTGTGCACCTCTGCTTATTTTTGATCCAGCATGTCCTCGTTTTCAGCTGCCGAACAATAAAAGTTACAATGCAATTGTAATCGTTTGCTTTGATTGCAGACTTGGCCATTATCTTTGTTTCATGTGCAAATGCACCAATGTTTCCTGTTGGAATATTAAGTATGTAAAGACAGTTATGAAAATTAAAATCCATAAATATGTTTTTTWAATTTTTTTTAAAGCAGATGAGAACGATTTGGTAATTAGTATTTGTACCCCCCCTGCTTTTGCTTTCTGTGAATGAAATACTGCTGTTGATCATATTATTGTTCAGATTGGCCAGTGTAGCTGTTCAGGCTGTGATTCAGAGCGTTTTGAAGAGTAATTTATTTGGAAGGATAATTGTTGCTTTGGAACACGTAATGGGGAAGAGAGGAGCGAACGATCAGTTTTTGATTAGGCCGGTTAAACGCGATCAAAGCTTCAGGTAAAAAAGAACAGCTCTACTTTCCAACGTGCCTCTCTTGTCCTCGGTGCCAATATTTCTAAAATGATTAAGAAGGATTTGTTGGGTTATTAGGTTCCACCCACCCAAGTGATTTCTCTGGTATTTGACCTGCAAATTGTCCTGTGTTGCTTGGTTTAAATAGAAAAAATGTTCCTATCAGAGGTTAGGATGCACACTCATGTTGATCTCTTCTGAGTCATTTAATGAATGAGATGTTTTGGGGTCTCAGGTGCTTTGGTTCTTTCTTGTTATGCTCCTGTGCGTCATCTGAAAAAAACATTTAGGTAAACTTGATGTTAAACTGGGTTTAATAGCAGAAAGGTTGGTTTAAGATCACCATCCTTTTAGAATAGTTAGAATCCTCTGCTCACGTTGCGTCACTGCAGGTTTTTCTGTGAGTTATTTGGATATTTTGATGGCCATCTCCTAAGTTACTTAGCTAGATCCATTTTGTACAGAAGTTTGTTGGAACCCACCATTTTTTCAGGGGGCATCCTTACCAAATGCCCTGACCACTACAGATGGGATAAATGCCTCTTTGAAGGGATCTGGATCTTGGGGAGCCGTTTGTTTCATAGAGCCGTTGAAAAAGAGCCGTTCGATTTTGAATGTATTACGTCATCACGTAGGGAAATACGTCATCACGTAGGGAAATAMGTCATCACGTAGGGAAATACGTCATCACGTAGGGAAATACATCATCACGTAGGGAAATACGTCATCACGTAGGGAAATAAGTCATCACGTAGGGAAATACGTCATCACGTAGGGAAATACATCATCACGTAGGGAAATACGTCATCACGTAGGGAAATACGTCATCACGTAGGGAAATACGTCATCACGTAGGGAAATACGTCATCACGTAGGGAAATACATCATCACGTAGGGAAATACGTCATCACGTAGGGAAATACATCATCACCTAGGGAAATACGTAGGGAAATACGTCATCACGTAGGGAAATACGTCATCACGT